TACTTATCTCATGTTTATTGAAATACTGTATAGAATACTTTTTTTTTATTATGAAATCATACCTATTTTTATATGAAATGTACAATGAATTTGAATCAAGTGAAAGAATATTCTTTTTAGTATTTATTTAAGTAATCTGAAAAAATATATTTTAGAAAAAGATGAATTTTCATTAAAAGAAACTATGAATTCGATTTTTGTAGAAAACACATCTGAATACATTGAATCTTTCATAAAATATTACGAAAATAAAATAATCTGTTGGATATATGAGTAAGTTTATGTGTTATTATAAGTGATTAATCAAGATGTTAAAGTTTAATTAAATATTAAATTTTTCAATATAAATATATTTTAGTTTGCAAAAATATTTATCTTTAATTTTATTTAAAAAAATTGATATTCAAGAATGTCTCGATATCTCAAGAGTTCAATTAGAAGATCACTAATATAATAGTAGTAATTTAATGCTTGTCTATCGATATTACTTCATTAAAATGTTTTTTTTTTCTATGAAGTTCAAAACTTATCAAAGTCATTGACACATCTTCAATTTTAGTTTTTAAATTTCTATTTGAAACTTTACATAGAGATAGATGTTAACGAAAATAATTTATTGCAAAATATTTTTCATTCCGCCGATAAGAATATATCTAAAACTTTCATTACAAACTATTGTCAGTGAACTCAATCTCTGTGAAAAATTCAAATTCGAGATTTGAAAATGAAATATTTCTGAAGAATGTCATAGTATTATCTAAAAAACAATTTGTAAACATACAATTAGTAAAGCAATCGAACTTTTTTCTACATATTTAATTCAGTTAAATATTTATTAATTGATTTTATAATTTTACTTCAATAGGAATTAATGAGAAAGATGCAAAATGAAAATGAACAAATGCAACAAAAATTATCTGGTATCAAAAAAAAAAAAAGTAATTTTATTTATTATTAATCAAATTTCTATATAGAATCAATGCATCGTTCAACAATTGATTCATTAGTACAAGAAAATCCAACTAATTATACATATTCAAATTCTCAAATACAAACAAATGTTTTAAGGTTTATCGAAACAAAATTATTTTATTATTTGAGCTTTGTTTTTTCTTTTCCAGATATGCACATTGTTTTGCACCTAAATCAAATGATTTATATACACGATCTTGTAGGGAATGTGGTCTATCTTGGCAAAAACTAACTCATAATCCACCGGATAATTATTCAGTAATTCAAAATAATTTTATCGGATATGATGACTACCCTTCATTTGAAAAAAAGAAACTACCTAATTCCATTCTGTTGAACAACTCATAGTTATTTACGAAATTATTTTTTCATAAAAGTCATTATACCAGCTAAGATATATAAGAGCAATGATGAATAATATGATCTCAAAAATAACCTATATCTGACATATATATATGAGTCTTTCGAAAACAGTAAAAAAACGTTTTTCTCTTTCAGAATCTTGATAAAGCTATTAATTCTTATAAGAAACCCGAACATATGTTGAATGTGATAGAACTACATATCCGAATCACATTCGATGTTCTGAAGCGTAAAAACAAAAAGAAAAGTCATATATTTTTCTATTCTCAGGAATCACACTTATAGAACACGGAAAAAGTTGCATAGTTGGTTGCCTTTGTCCTCGACAGTCATATCTTACAACAGCCATCATTGCTATAATACCTGTTAAC